GCACATGCACATGCATGCACGCACACGTGAATGAAGAATACATTTTCCCTCCTCTTCACACCTCTCTCAGTTTACAGTGTACATAATTACATTCTTCAGAACTTCGATATGATGATATAGCATGAAGCAGAGAGTTCTGTAGGTAAATGGAAACTCTGAGATATATTCTTTAGAGTATGACCTCAAAGATGCATTTATTTCTCCTTTTATGGTAATCCTAAAAATCTCGTTTCCAAACTTTTGAATATTTGAACTACAGATACTACTGTATCAGTGTTCTTATCAATTGCAACAGTTACTTAATCCAGTGCAGGGGTTTTGATGTTTGTGTAGTCCTATTTTAAACATGGTACTTCCTTCCCTTACCCTAATCTTTTAAAATCTACATTGTTTATCAAATGTGCATTTCTAATTTTCGTTATAGTCTTTCATTGGTTTTTTATTTAACATACCAGTTTCCAAGATGTAATTTTACACATTTGACTGTTTTGTCACTGGACCAACATACCTGGTGAAGGAATAAATCCATTAAGTAGAAACAGTATTTTGTTTTCTTTTTTTTTTTTTTTTTAATGGAAAGCCTTTGTAAAAGAGCATTTTGAAGTTTTATGTTGGAAATTAAATAACACAGTTTTCCAGGCATATGTTTAAATTACCGAAATGAGTACTTTTAAGGAGATAGCACTATCTAACAAAAAAATCTTAATTTTAATATGATTTTGAGTTGCCTTGCTCAATTAAAATCTGAATGCAGTTTTATATGCAGTCATTCATAAGTGAAATAAAACAAATTGGAGTGAGAGGTCTTGAGTAATTAAAGACTTAAACTTTGTGAATAGGTTGATAAATTTCAGATCCTAAGGAAATACTTGTAAAAATCTTTGCTTTTGAAAAAAATTTAAGACTTCAGTAAATACAGTATTTCTTTGAGAAAAGGGAGAATACTGGAAGATTAACAAAGGGATTGAGGTGGTTTAGGTTGATATATTGAAAACTCTACCTTGTGATTTTGGTTACATTCCCTAATACGAGGCTCTATATTGGTTCAATTTTGAGATCATTTATATTAAAAAAACAAGCCATATATTAATAATACATGTCAATATTATCACACCTTTAAAAGGGCTGATGGTTGTATATGCAAAAAGTTCTCAATTATCATTACCTATTGACCCTAAAATATTAATTACCATAGAGTTTATATATCTTTCTAGCCATTCTCATTAGAAAGGCTAATGGTCAGTTGTTGAAACTCTTCAAATTGATTTTGTATAAACTGGTGGATATAATGATGGTCGAAAATATAGTTCATTAAAAAAAGGCGTAGCCACTTTTACGGTGAACATTACAAAATTTGTTTAAACTACCTACTCACTTAACAGATTCCTTTTCTGTAAATGAGGGGAGGTGCAAAATATTACTGGCCCTTTTGAAAAGGAACACAGTACAGATTTCTTTCCACAGATAGCTGACCAATGTGAACTCTGTAGGCTGCATTCCAGGAACTCTTATGAATGGCTGCAATTGTGAACTGTCATCGGCAGTGAAAGAGTGAAAACCTGATTTTAAGGATCCCTTGGTGGCCAATATCTCTATATCGTCCTGTTAATGGTGTTATTTGTGTAGTTTGCTAATCACTACTGATAAAGTATTATAAATTGTGACTGTTAAGTGGTGTGTCCTGGTATATGCCATCAGTACGAATTTTATTTGTACCTTTTTTATATATGTATTATAAATGAAATTCTCCCTCTTTTTTTTTTACTTGAAGTTTAAGTGAGAAGATTATGTAAATGTATACCAGGAGGTAGAACTGTTAATCTTTGCTGTAAAACCTATAGGTAATTCTTAGAGCTCTGTTGTTATTTAATATATGGAAGTCTCACTGCATTTAAGTCTTTAAAAATGGAAGATCTTTACTTGAATTTGTATTTCTTGGGAGCTTACATTGATCTCTTGAATTTTGGAGGTAATTTTGCTCTTTCCCCTGTTGCACTTGATGTGTAAATCACACAGTAGGTACCAGCTTATGCTTATCTCAGCCCTTGAGGGAGAGTATTCTTCCAGAGGAGTTAGTAATCAAAATGTAAAATCACATATATATGACATTATTGTTTAGTATAAAAACTGATATTGATGCATTCATCAGTGATGCCACACTGATTACTAAAATATACTTTATTCATAAACATGGCTTTAAAGGAAATTAAATATTTCCAGAAAGGCTTATGATTTTCCGAAATACCTGAAATGCCCAAAATTGAAAGCTGTGTTAGTAGGAGCATGGCCATTAATATTCACAGTGACGTGTTGTTTATAATTTTATGTGAACTAAATCATATAGGCCAAACACTGGTTAATTTTTTTAAGAAAACATAGGTGCTTATATGTCATGGATAATACAAATTCCAAGTAGCTATTTTAGTAACACTTGTATTTTCTCTGTAGGGGAAGGGATGGTATGAGATTACAAATCTTGAAATAATCATCATCTTTATGAGAAATCATTTTATATAAGACTGGTAGTAGGAATATCTATATTCTCTACTTCCTGAGAATAAATGTAACACCAATCCATTTGTTCTTCAAGAATTCTGTTAGCACTAATTTGGAAATGGTAAAATATGGCACTGGATTTACAGATCTGGTACTTGCTAATTTGGAATGGGAGTTTATCTTTCTCCGTACCAGAAGAGATTGAAAGCAGCCATGGCTCTCTGGTGTCCTCCAGTAAAGAAGAGCAGCTCCACCAGAGTCAGATGGTAAAGATACTAAAATGAATCTCTGTCTTAATAGAGGATAAAAGGATTCTGACTTTCCTGTCCTAAAGTGGCCGAAATTGGGGAAAGTGTAGTGATAGCAGGTAACCAAGAAGAAAATACAGTAGAATAACATGAAATGTGGTCTCAGAAGGAACAGGAACACTTGTTAATGGTGAGGAACAGTTTTCTGTTCCTTCTTGGAATAATTGTTTTAGATTACTATGTATTTTGTTTTCTGAAGAGATACTGTTTATTTCTTCATTGCATTACTCTTTAAATACTTAAGTATAAGGAAGGAGAGGGTCTATAAAAGCAGGTCTGTCTGGTTAGGTGTAATCTGATTAATGTTCCCTAAGTAATTATTAACGGGAAGAGCAGATTTTCAATAAATATTAATCGTTGACAGTTTTCTAAGGAGTATGTACAACAAAACTCCTGAATTGGAATAAATTCTTTAAGGTTATGTTTTTTCTTTATACTAAACTTGAGGGCTTGTGATTTGAGACTACTGTTTTAGATGGTATAATACTAATTACT